CTGGGTCTGCGTTTGAAGCATGACGGGGTTGGCGAAGACTCGGAGCACAACGGGGACTCGTAATCCTCAGGAGGGAAGACCTTGGAACAGCCCTGGGCGGATAAAAACCGGACTAAGACAGGGAATGTCGAGGGAAGTGTTCAGAGTGTGTCAAGAAGCCAAGCTCGAGATTGTACTCATGGATATAGGCTATGTACACTGGGTGTGTATGTTATCGTGGGGGGGTGGAGGTTGTGGTGTTTGGGAGGGGGCGAAGTTGATTTGAATGTCGAGGTGGTGGTGAGGAGGACGGAGGGTGGAATTGATGAATGAATGAATTGGAATGGACTTCCAGTTGGGACTTGAACTTGAGACTACGGGAGGCGGGGAGGCACTGGTTCCGCCCGGGCAGTTTGTGCCGTGCTTACTACTACCACGGAGTACTGAGAGAGGAGTAACTCAGTACAGCACAGTAGTGAATTAGTTGGAGGAAGAAGCCGACCCTCGGAGTTTCGCCTGGACCCTTTTCTTGGAACAACTCCCCGAGTCCTAAGATCTGAGACAAGTCAATGATCGCCCTCCTTCAAGCAATGTGATACATGCTTTGCTTTTTTCTTTCTTTTTCAGACCGGAGTACGGAGTACTTGAGTCGACCCCATGTCATTTTCCTCCCAGCCCGTCCTCGGACCGTTGATAGGCGCCTTGCAGGTTACACCGTGAGAAATGCGCACGAGTTGATCTGGCAGGTGCATGATTATCTTTGTCGCCAACTCGGAACTCAAGCAATAGTACTCTCAGGCTCTCAGGCTCGATGCAGCTTGCGCGTGTGGCCATCTTATTTGCCGGCCTCAGAGGGAATAGTACTATACTGTACACCGGTACATGCCGGCAAAATGCAAGATAACAAAACAGCATAGTTCCGGTCTACTGCTTGCTCACCTTTTTTTCATTGTCTTCAAAGCAATGTCTGATTAGATTATCTCATATCATATCTTTCATTGATTTCATATTTACATTTGCCTTGCCAGGTCTTCCATCGATTGGGAAAAGAAACATCGCAATCATCCGAAACATTAGCACATCGCAGGGGTTTGCATAACAACATGACAACATAAGGCATCATCATACATAGAAAGTCCTTCAGCCAGAAAACTGAAGAAAACGTCATAATACACACGCCGGGAACCTGATAGAGCGCCGATTCATGCAAACAGCTTGTGAGAATAAGCAAGAAAGAGAAAAGAAAGGGGTCCATTGTGACCAGGAAATCATGTTCAAAGTTCGTCGAGTTCGTTCCGTCAATTCATCATCTTCGTGAGCGCGTACGAGATCGTCTGGAGCGTCTTGTCTCTCTTGTGCGCCGGTCATCAGTGATTTCGCTGCCTAAAAAGTATGGGGTCAGCATTCCGAATGACATCAATCTCGCAAGAATGCGCAGCGCTTACCGTCGTTGGTATAATAGTCGGAGTAGTAGTAATAACTACTTGGGTATGTGTAATCCGTCTTCTCATCGTCGTCGCGGTGGTCTCTGCTTCTCTTCAAGCCCAGGCACAGTGCAAGCGCACCCAGTATGATTCCAATGGTAGCCAAACCATTCCAGGAAGACTTCTTCTTCTCCCCTGCAGTCGATGCTGCTGCCGCTGCTGGCCGGCTTCCGAACCAGGTCCGTCCTTCGGGCCGAGCGGCGCCATGCGCATGCGAATGACGATGGTAACGCTCTTCGACGTAGGTCGTCTCCTTTCTCTTTCGACGACCGCAGCCCAGACATGCAAAGAGCGAGTCCAGAATACCACGGCAGCACAGGCAAGCGCATAGTAGCAGCAGCAGGATGACGCCGGCAATTGTTCCGATGACGATGCCTGCAATCGCACCACCACTCAATCCACCACTTGAAGCCTTCATTCCGATCACCGTTGAGCCGGCCGTGTTGACGGGAGCAATGAAACCCTGGGTGGTTGTTATCGAGGCCGTGTGTGTGGCTGTCGATAAAGTCGTGCCTCGGACGGCCGGCGTGGCAGTCTCCGTGGCCCAGATGGATGTACTTCCCAAGATACACTGGTTGCTGTAGCAGACGTACGCAGGGCCGCAGCAGTCACTACCGCAGATGGTCTCCCCGACGCTGGCATCGCAGCTGGAGCCGGAAGAAGTCGCCGAGATATAGCTGCTCCATGTGGATGTGAACGTAGCAGTCTCCGTCTCGGTTCGGACATAGGTTGTGGTGAAGTACTCCCAGCTGCCGCCGCTGCCAGCACTTACGCACTCGGCTTGGCCATTGCTGTTGGTACTACATGACTCGCTGGAGCTGCAGCAGAGCTGGCTATAGTAGCCGCAGGGATTTGCGCAGCGTTTCTCTAGGACTGTGCCATTCGCATAATCGTGCTCTTCGTACTCCAAGGTCGTCGCAATTGCGGTTGGGGCTGTAGTCGCCGTCGCCGTCGCCGTCGCAGTTGCAGGCGCAGTGTCCGGTGAGATCGCCGTCACGGCCTGAAGGTTTAGTAAAGGGAATATAGATATGGCCGACTGCAGTATGCGGGACATATGCATGGCGAAGAGAGAACGTCTGATTAGCGATGACAGCCACGAGGGGGGCGTATACTGGGGCTCTGGAATGTTTTCTGAATTCCGATCGCTCTCAGCGATGTCCAGGATTCAGGCTTATCACAACACCCGTGTCAACGGCCCCGTAGTATGGTAAACGAGCTTCATACAACGGACAAAAGCATACAGTAAACAAAGCCAAGCAATGGACTGGAATGCAACTGTCAATAGTGTGGATATGAGAAAACGAGAAAAATCTCTCCGCGCAAGCAAGAATGAGCAAAGAGTCAGAGAGAAAGAGAAGGCGGGGGGGGGAGAGAGAGAGAGAGTAAACTGAACTAGACCGAGGAAGAGCTGTTCATGCAGTCGAGTTTCCGACGTCTCCCTTCCTGTCTTTTGATCCCAGCCTCCGTGCCGTCGTCTCCCCAACCACCGCAATTTATGCGACAGCAACCGCCAATCACTGCCAACCCGCAATGAAGGAGCTGGAAGGAGTCATGATTGTCAACTTACCACTTACGCTTCATCAGATTTAAAAATGGAAATTCGGGAGGCTGGGATACCCCCACTCAGTGCACTTGTTGCCCCTCCGGAGTGCACTGGTCAATTGCTCCAGTTCCCACTGCCCCTCCCGTCTACTCAGTCTATCATTCACCCGCCGCTTGCTTTCTTGAATTTCTCCCCCTCTTTGCTGGAGGTTCCTGACAGCGTCATCATCCTTTTGCACCAGTCACCCTCATGCTGGGCAAAAATATACGCAAATTAAGGAATTTAGCCTGCGAAACAATGTTTGGGCTCCACCCCTCTAGAGGATTTCTCCGTGACGAGACTGAGAGTCGGTCTGGCCATGGTCTTCCCTGATTTGATGCCCGGGTGGAAGTTCTGTCAGGTACTGACTGCATGTCTGACTCTCTGACCACACATCCGTCACAAATCAGGTATTCAGGCATGGAGACCACTGCACCAGCACCTCCTACGTGTCGTCCGAGGACCAATTTAATTCCTTACTTGGGCAGTGATTCTTTTGGCGTATGAGTGATGCAGTAAGCTACCTTGGATCTGACCTATGATCTGTGACCTCCAATCTATACCACGGACCCAGTTTGTTAGTATGTTCCGCTCGTCACCGGTCTAGAAAGCCCTATTTATAACAATGCGTTGGTGAAGCGGTGTGTGGCACCCACCCCCGTATGCGCACATCAGACCAGTATGGATCTCGTTGTCGTATTCCCACTTCAGAGACCTGGTCCGAACTAGAATCGTGCTCGGGCTATACTTTATTTTATGAGACAATATAACACTTCATCTTGTGTGTGCATTGATGCTATCTCATTGTCATTCTTATGTACAAGATTCTCCGCGAATACATCACAGTCATGTTAGCCTTAAAACTTCCGAACATAGCACATCATCGTCACATCATTTCATAAACCAGATCCCATATATAAGCGTCAAAAGCTCGAAGCCTGCCAAGAGTTTCGAAACTGGTCATCAATTGTCATCCCATTCGCATCCCAACCAATTCAGTCATAAATTGCCAGCAAGCATATATATCCAAATTCCGTACGTTATCGACATGAAGCCCGGTACCCTGTAGGACGACAACTTCACATGAACATTCCAGCCACTCCGATAAACATACCGAAGAGAAGGTCCTCGAGGCTGGAAGTGCGTCTGGGTCCTGTCGCTCGGTTCTCGTAAACGCCGGTAGTGTAGGCCGCGCAGTATCCGATTTCCAGGCCATGGCAAGCCTCCAGACTGAGACTAGAGCATGTCGACATAGCTGCTGAGACGCCTGCCCGGGTTGTCCCCGAACCGCCGTCTACGGCAACCGTCACTGCATACCCGCCCCCGAGCTGTGACAGACAGCCAGTGTACTCGCTCTGACATAAGGAGTAGTAGGATGTGCAGACCTGGGCATTGGCGAACGAGGTCGGGATGACGACGAATGGGTAGGCGGCGGCGAGAGTTGAGCCTGTGAGAGTGACACTGGTCGGCCCGGCAGTGGTTTGCGTAGCGCTTGCTGTCTGAGGGAATCGGAAGCTACTAGTAGAACCTCCGACCACGACTCTTCCGGTGCCAGTGGCAGAAAGCGTCCCCGTGCAGCTAGCTCCGGTCGGGCAGCAGGCGATATTGTTGGCATCGTCGCGAGTACAGATGGTATTGTCCTTGCAGCAGATATCGGAGTGGCCCAGCTTGGAACAAGTGTCATAACCGGAGGGACAGTTGCCGTCTCGCTTTCTGAGAATCTGCAGCACCTCGAATGCTCTGCGTCTAGACTCTGCAACTTGGGGCTGCGAGAATGGCAGTGTCTCGATCGAAGGTGCTGCTGTCTCTATCGATAAAGCCGTCGAGGCGAGGAATGCGACCGAGATCCACCCGAAAAGCTTCATTCTTGAAGGGCTAGGGCTGTTGTGCGCCCGCCAAATCGTATCGAGAATGGATGTGTAGCGTGGATTTAGGACTGTGAATTGGTGCTCACAATGGCTGCCGTTTCGCGATCAGTGTAGGTACCTTCGACTTTGATCCGATGCGATAGTTGCAGAGCGATCAACAAACTTCTCGAAGCGGCCGAGACAATCTATAGATAAGGGAGAGGTTAGCTATCGCTGAAATGGGGTTCATAGCAAATTATGAACTCAACCAGGCTGCAAAAGGAAGACTCACAAGGTGACTGACTGAAAGTAAACCCTTCACCTTCTAGCCTATGAATTGGAGCAATCAAGTCTGCAGCGGATCAGGGTGGGTGATGGAAAGCTGGCGCTGCATCTTCCGGCCGTTCAGGCAGCGGCGTCTCCACTAGAGACTAGAGTTCCCCTGCCACAGCAACGGACCGGCGCCCGCGGTGGTTTCTAATCCCGGGCCTCCTCCTGCCTGCCGCCCATGTTGGAATAAGAATAATGGAGCCCGCTTGTTCTCCTATTTTTGGCCAAGTGAACCATCCTACTCTAGGTACGGGACGGTGTGGTCAGGAAACGCCCCGGGTGTCCGCCGGCGGCCCCTTCGCTCCCTTGGCTAATGGATGATGTGGATAATGTCTTCTGCTCCATTACCAACGATCAATTGATAGGCAGGGTCCTGGTGATGTCATTCCATCCCATACCTACGTACCTCCAACCTCCCCCACACCATAAACCACTCGAAGCGATACACAAGAATTGGTTGCTGTACCCTGCCTGCTAAATTCAATCACACGAAACTTATTTGCTCGCTTGTATTCCCAATCCAGCGTGTCAATTCGAGGGTTGCGATCATACAAATCGAGAAAGATGGTCAGGCATGTGACTGGGGAGGGGCTTGCTGATTCATATGTGAGATGAACACGAAGGAGCCTTACCTTCCAGCTCCAATAATCTGCGCACTTTACTCCCTGCCACTCATGCTCAAACTGACACATTGATAAAGACACCCACGCTGCTAACTGGCAGAAAAAAAACCCCCCCTAGCTTGGACCAGCATGTCTTCAATCAGCGAACCTACTCCCATGACAATCCCCATCGTGGATTTCAAAGCATGGTTCAACACTGAAGATGAAGCCGCCCGCCGACGGGTTGCACAAGAGCTTGTGGAAGCATGTCAGCGAGTCGGCTTCGTCTACATCATCAATCACTCTCTACCTGAGCATGTCCTCGACTCGACCTTTGACTGGATGAGACGCTTGTTCGAGCTCCCGAAGGACATTAAGATGCAAGCACCTCATCCTGAGGGGTGGGCAGTGCATCGAGGATATTCCTGGCCGGGATTGGAGAAAGTTTCCCAAACCATCAGCACTGGGGACGATGAAGAGACACGGCAGAGGCTGAGAGAAGTGCCAGATGTCAAGGTGTGTCTGATGGTTCACCGTATCGACCCTGCATAGTCCCTTGAAGCAGTCCTAGAATGTTATGTCTTAACGACGTTGGACTCTTGTAGGAAATTTACGATATTGGAAGTGAAGAGAACACTGCTCAACCAAACCAGTGGATCCCCGAAGAGGCATTGGCGGGCTTCCGCAGCTTCATGAATCGGTTCTACTGGGATTGTAACGGGTTAGGCATCGAGATTCTCCGCGCTCTTGCCCTTGGCTTGAACCTGGACAATGAGAATCATTTGGCCCAAAGGCACTCAGGCCAGAACAATCAGTTGCGACTCCTACACTATCTACCGGTTTCAGCAGATGATCTTGAAAAAGATCGGGTAGCTCGATGCCCTGCACACACCGACTGGAGCTCAATCACAATGCTTTTCCAGGATGATTGCGGTGGCTTAGAGGTGGAAGACATCTCTCAGCCCGGCAACTTCGTCCCCGCTGCTCCTGTCAAGAATGCAATCGTCATGAATGTTGGAGATCTCTTGCAGCGATGGAGTAATGGTTGGTATATTTCTCTTGAACTGTAGATTAAGCTGACTCGTACAGATCGTCTTCGGTCTACCAATCACCGGGTCAGACTCCCGCAGATATCCGATCGCTTTGAGGGCAGTAATCGTATGACGCGCGAACGCTTTTCCATTCCGTACTTCATGGCTCCAGACCCTGATTCGGTCATCGAGTGCATTCCATCATGCATGAGTGAGGATGAACCGGCCAAGTACGAGCCGATCACTCAAGCAGGCTACAATCAGATGCGAGCATCGATGATGTATTAGGTTTGATTCAATTTGAAACAACATTGAGCGCAAATCTTCAACCAAGGTCATTTCCACTACTAAGAAGTAGAAGATACCGAACTACTCCAAGCTATTAGCCCTGAACCCTACCTCGGGTCCTTAAAAAGTAATCAACCCTCACCGCCTGAGACTATGCCCAATCATAAACGGGAGCCTCCATGCGTTCATCAGCGACAGCAACAGCTTAAGTTTGGAGGCCCGTAATCAATCATTTACGGAGTACTATCACGAGCGACACTCCTAATACAACGTCCGACTGTAAAAGTGACGACAACGCCCTTTCAACTTCCTAAGTCAAGGATCCAGTTTTCACTTCGACAAGCGCTCGAACCCCCTCTCGAAGGAGCGAACATTAGGACCAACGCGATCTACCCCTCCCTCCTCCTACCCCTCAACTCCGACATCAACCATCATAATGTCCATCCCCAACGAAGCTCTGCAGAAGGTCAGTTACGAGTCCGAAGCTCCAAACCACACACCTCCATCGCAACACACTGAACCAACACCTTGACAGATTCTGCAAGAAATCGAGGCCCAGGCCATCAGCTCCCAACAGCAATTGGGCATCACCAAGGCTCAGATTACCACCAAACAGCGTGACATCCGCATGCTCGAGCTCACATCCAAGGAGATTGGAGACCTACCCAAAGAGACCCGTGTGTATGAGGGTGTTGGAAAGATGTAAGGCTCCCGCTTCCCACTAATCCCATGCATGTTTCCGGTATTCAGGTAGGCGGATGGTTTACTATCTGCCTACGGGGACATCCACCGCCTTCACTTCTCTCGGGCTGTTCCATAAACATCCCGAATTTCCCCTCTAGTGATTTCGCAACTACATGATGCAATGACTAACCATCTGAATCATCGCAAACAGGTTCGTCGCAGTCCCCATTCCCACCATCGACAGGCGGATATCCAGCGAGAGCAACGAGCTCAAATCCGAGATCACGGGATTGGAGAAGAAATTACATTACTTGGAGATGACGCATAAGAATAGCCGGGAGAACTTGGAGCAGATCTTGAAGGCCGGGCGCGCTTGATGAGCTGCAGCTTGTCTATACTTCATCAGAACAAAATCGGGCGCTGTGGTGTCTTTTCGTCTTCTCGCTTCTTGTGGATACTTGTTCAATTATTATACCTTTTTTTCCCGGCAAAACGACTGTGTCTGTGTGAGATCAGGTATGCGATGTACATGATGGAGGGATTTTGAGGAGATTTCGGAACGGCAAAGACCTATCAGTTCCGTTTATCCTCATGGGCGGAATTCACGCCATCCACCAGGTGGTGAAGATAAAAGGAATTGGCCAAGTAGGTAGGACTCGATGCCGGTGGGATGGTTTTTTACCAGCGGATAGGATGATCTTACCTCAATCACGACACTCAGGACCAGGGACGCGGCTGGAGCGGCAAACCCCATCCTTGCTGGGACACAGTATCTGTATGTCTCAGACCATGCATATCCGAGGAGAAGCATTGAAAGATTGGAAGAATGACAGCAGCCACTGCATCCTCTCACCTCACTCGGTGGGCCTGATTGCTGCTTTGCTTGCCGATTGCTCGACCATTCGAGACGGAAGTGCCCAATTCGCCATCGCATTATCCATTCAGACCATTGCTTATCGGTGTGGATGGCTCTTTATCCATGTCCGTCGTTCCAATATCAGGCTCTTTCAAATATAATAGGTCGGTATAATACGGCGGGTTAAGCGTCAGGATGCATACATGTACCCTGGAGCTTACTTGGCTCAGGCCACCAGTAGCAAGCAGCGTTCTAGACGTTTTCATGGGCACACTCATGTCGGACAAGTAACATGCATCCTGTGTATCGAGGGCGAACATCGATATACCTCGTAAGCAACCTAGCACGAAAGATCCATATGTCAACTCGATGTGTTATCTCCTTATCGGTTGCATGAACATGCATCGTGGGCAAAAGTACCTTCTTGTGTAAGCAATGCTGGATGACTGTCAGCTCGGACGGACTTGTTCAGGGTTATACAAGATGTTGCATTCCATGATCATGGCTTATCTCTTGGTGAGGCGATCAGACAATTGCACTTGGTGTAGTGTAGCAGTGTCCCGACCGGTTACTCGTACTCGACTTCGAAGCAAACGTGATGCAGGCGGCATACCGCTCACGTCCATTTGCAGGCTCAGCTCCATGAATCCGAGAAGTCATATCGATCTTTGGGCGCTGCAGCACTCACTACGATTGAAGCAAATCAACCCATTAACAACATGATTTCGATCGATGAAAGCTCGCTCTTCCTCGGTCCAGGTACGAATCATGAAATACAAGGTGATACAGAAGTACAACCAGGAAGCGAGGTGACACGAGCTGTCTTTGCTATTCATAGCTTTGAAAAGCAAAGAAAGAAAACAAGACCACCAAGGAGATGATAGCATGATGATCGCCCCTTCAGCTACGGCAGTTGGTCTCGATCCCGGGGAATCCAACAGCCAATTCGTCGTCATATGTCTTAGAATTGCACGACTGAAAGAGCACAACCACCACCCCGCGCATCCTTTGTCTTGCTCAGCCTCAAGACCATAGCCCTCAAGGATGATGCTTAGTCGGATGCTCTGCGACACCCTCCCGATGAAACCATGACCCACACTATCCATCTGAGTTCAGCCGTCGGTCGACTCTAGCATGGCACGTACAGTACAGTACATAGCAGCACATGGCGTTTAGTGCACTGATCCTTGTGCAAATCTACCTTCAGGATACATAACGCCACTAGACATCCTACTTCTAGAACAGACGCTCTTGCCGTCGACACATTCTCGGCGATGATAGAATCACTTTCAACGTCCTAAAGTTCTGTGAAGATGGGGGGCGAAGGAACCCAAAAAAGGGAAAATGACATGTAAATCATTTCCTTTTCTCCGCTGCTCCAACAACACGACGCCGCTCACCCAGCCTCTTTCCCGGGGGATTTCCTTGCATCCTGCATGATGATGGAGACGAAAGACCCTCTCTCCTCCGCGGGATCGACTGGCATACATACGTACCGGTCTGTCAGCCTTGGAAACAAGAATAGTAAAAGGCTATCTATTTGTTAGGTTTCAGTCGATCCAGACCAAGATTGCCTGACAGCCCGGCATCATAGCTGCAGACCCTCAGCAATCTAGTCTAGGAACAGCCAGGACGCCTGAAGACGGATGGGAGAAAGGGTATAAATAGTCCCTGATTCTCGGTCTGCTGCAAGGAGAGATTTACTTGGAAAGCAGCAAGACAAATTTTCCCCCTTCACGACCGATTCTATAACGAAGTCTGTTGACCAACCACGGGTCTATCAGCGTCGAACAATCTGACAATATCGATCCTCGATCAAGCACCATGCAACTCTCTCTTTACATTCTTACTGCCCTGAGCGTGGGTACTGCCACTACTCTGGCGGCTCCTTTCCCAGGGACAGAAGTCAGTGCACAGAGTTCTGCCACATATCATTGGCACGGGTGTGGCTCAGTCGGCAGTGTATGTTCTTTCCCCTCGAATCTCCGGGGTAGTTGCTTTACTAACGATCGATGAACAGTGCTCTAGCGATGGCGATTGCCAGGTTGACGAGAACTGCCTGAGCATGGCACAGAACGTACGTCTGGAAGACTCTGTGGTTCGCGTTTCTTTGGCAGCACAGGGTCACTAACCGGATTTTCTGAATATAGGAGACTAGTCATGTCCACTGCGGACAGGAGAACCATCCTACTGCATGTTGGGCTGTAAGTGCCATTATTGTCTATATCACCTCTTGGATCCTCCGCTGATCAATTTCACTTCTGTTGGTAGGAGTGGTTTGAGTGAATCGAAGATTGAGACCGTTTACGCCAAGGATATACGCCAGATTGATGGATATAATGCAGCGGATGGATTTAATATGGGTAATATGAGTCTATGGAAGACCTCAATAATGACGACGATAATGGAAAATTCTACTTGTTTCCCTTCTCCCTGTCCTTTTTTTTCATCTCTTTCGACTGGCAAGCCGAAGAGCGAGCCATCTCAACATCCACGTTTTCCCATACGAAAGCCCACACATAGCATAATGTGTCAGTGCTGATAGAATGACAAGACATGACAACCAATTTCACATCCGTTATGATGACGTCGCACAGCCACTTATCGATGTACTCGTAGCGAAGTTCAAGCCTTTTCGAATCCGAGATTGCGGCCGTAGACCAGTCTAAGAACACCATCTGATCGATAGATGTTTTGGGCTGCAAAGCAAAGCATCAATTGAACTGTTTTTCGCCTCCTCCTCCTCCTCCTTTCCACAATCACACTGCTACGTACTGCTGTGCGGTGTTCCGTACATTCCGATATGATCTTCGCGATGGGGGATGGATGATGGATGCCAGACAAACACCGAGGAAGGATGGCAAGAGATCAGGCAGCTTCCCCCCCCCCTAGGTATCCAGATCCCGGACGGCTCATTGGTGACAGAAACCCGATTCAGGGTGGCGGTGGCCATAAGTAGGTACTGTATTTGCTGTCCCGACTCTACGTGTATTCCCAATTCTCGCCTGCTCTATACCTTCCGGGTGATTCGTATCGGATGCGTGGAGGGACCAAGTGCCTTCGGGTTCTGATGGTTGATCGACAAGGGACTAGCTTCAGATTAATGGAGTCGGGATGAGGCTGTGGCTGGTGGTGTTGGGGGCCAAAGACGACATGACAATTGTATGATCAAGTTTACTGTACCGTACAGGGTAAATTGGGACTGTGGCTCAGTCAACTTGGAACAGGGTTTGGTTTCGCAGTGCACACATGCTCCGTGACCGCAACTCAAGGCAGCCCGGTCAGGTGTCAAGTGGCTGCGACCGTGAGTTTCACTATTCGAGCAAAACAAGAGTCACGCTGAATCGGACAATAATCATTGGTAGGGGGGGGGTCAGAAGATGTACAGGTAGATACATGTACAGGTAGACACATGTACATGTACAGCTCAGTAGTAGAGTCCTGTACAAAAAATGTGTGCGTTATCTGCTTCCATTCAATGATCCTGAGGGGAGACTCCACTCTCGGGCAGGACCAACTCACTCTTACCTTCGAAAGCCTTCGTAGCCTACAGTAACTGCTCCAGGCTGCACATACATAGCCTGGACTGGGTCCATCAGGTACCAGCGGAGTCCACTCTGTAAGTTAGTAGTTAGTAATGACCACTCGACCCTATGGACTGTGCCCCTCTTTTCTTTTTTTTTTCCCTTGCTTTGGTCTCCAGACAACCAAGCCCCCAGGGTCCCTTTTTCTTTGCTCGCCCATGGGTACTGCAGCGGTTGTTCCCGTCCCTCTTCCCTTGGGTAAGAATCCTGTCAACATTCTTTCAGTGAACATGGCTGTGTATCTAAGAAATAATTCTTTCTCTAGCCTCCGTGGTCTATTACTGAAGAATAACACCCTAGAATCTTCGCATGTTGCCCAGACTGGAAGTTACCAGAATAAGCTACAGGAACATCCAGACTTGACAGCCGCCGCTAAGTGCGTTAAGTTACCCCTCCATTGAAGCCATCTGGTGTACGGTAGACCAGGCTGCGTGTAGTATACTCTTATTTTGGAGGCTTGTACTTTCCATGGGTCAGCCCTACCAATGTAAGGTGGTGTGTGGAATGGAGCATGTTATCGAAGGACAGACAATACAATTTTCAAAGTCTTCTTGGTCTGGTCTCCGGCCTATCGTAACTGAGAACAACTGAGCCCAGGCAAAAACGACGATGACAGGTTCGGATGCCAGATGATCAATCAGCTCGGCCCAATGATGCCAATCATTCATTCTCTCCCCCACTTCAGCTGAACAAGACAGAAGGAAGGAAGGAAGAGAATACTTAGAGGCACGAGGGAAGGCTTTGCACCTGCTCGTTTCTTTTCTTGTTTTTCCCTTTCCTTTCTTTGCCTTGCATCTCGTCCGTCTCTTTTTCTTTCTTCCCTCTTCTTTCTTTTCCCATCAGCCCCTGGGTTTATTCATCGTTGAAGTTGGTTGTTATTGTTGTTGGCGCCGTCTCTTGCTCACCCCGCCTACCATCATTATCACCACCACTGCTATCACTACGTACTGCTGCTGTTCTCCTCCCAGCCTCCTTCCCCCTCTTCCAATTCAGCCCCGTCGACGTCACCGCCTGCCATCCAGTCATCCCACCCCCTCCTCATTCCTCTTCCCCCCCACCATCCAACGGTCTGACTTTATCCAAAATCAAACACCACACAATCACAACAAGAAAACATAAACTGTGAGCAAGTTATATTGCCAAAGGAGAGACGCAGAAGACGAGACATAGATTTCTCGCAACCAAGAACCAAACAACCATGGGTTCCCGTCGACGTCACGTCCTCCTCACCGACTCCGAATCGGACTTCTCCGAATCGGATATCTCGATGGTCGAGTACCCCGGCCGCAAGGTGAGCCATCGTCACCGCTCCGTCTCGCGGCACCGGCACTTCAGCCCGGAGTACAGCAGCAGCAACGCCTACCTCAGTCCCGTCCTGCACAGCGACGCACAGCAGCAGCACCTCCACCGCTCCGCCTCGACGGGCGCCCGCCGCCGCCCCGACCGTCACCACCGCGACCACAGCCAGGCCCCCGTGGCCGTCATCGTCGACGTCAACAACCACAACGACACCAAGTCGGACAACAAGACCGACACCAAGACCGACGCCAAGACCGACTCCCGCAACAAGAGCGCCACCAAGCAACGCAAGGCCGAGCACCGCCTCAACAACACCTACAACATCGACTACGACGACTCCGAGGATGAGACGAACCTGCGCGCCCACCGCCGCCGGCCGCGCTCCAGCACCGCCAGCATCTCCCGCGAGGCGTCCCCGCGCGCCCCCGCCGTCGGGGCGCCGCAGATGATCCCCGCGGGCCGCGACCGGGACTTCGAGCTCGTCATCGACCAGCGGCTGCTGGAGCGGAACGACGCCCGCCAGGACCTGGAGCTATTCCGCCAGCAGCAGGAGATCGAGCGGCTGGAGCGCGAGCTGGCCCGCCACCGCGAGGTCCGCGAGCACCAGCAGGAGTACCGGCCGCACCACGAGGTGCGCATGCTCAAGGAGGAGGAGGACTGGTACGAGGACGAGATCAGCGAGCGGCTGCGCCGGCTGGAGCGGTTCGAGAAGAAGCAGCGCATGGAGGAGGAGCAGCGCCAGGTCGAGCACCGCTACAAGCTGATCAAGTTCGAGGAGGCCCAGCGCCAGGCCGCCGAGCAGGAAGAGCTCAACCGCAAGATGCGCCAGAAGCGGCTCGAGGACCTGCAGCGCAAGATCGACGAGGAGGAGGAGCGCGAGCGCATCAAGAAGGAGATCCGCGACGAGGAGGCGCGGCGGATCCTCGCCGAGCAGGAGCGCGCCCGCAAGGAGGCCGCCATGAAGCAGGCTGCCATCGACGAGTGGAAGCTGAACGAGGAACGTCGCATGATGGCGGAACGCGAAGAGAAGAAGCGCCGTGATCACGAATTCAAGGAGAGATTGAGACTCGAGTTCGGCTACAATGAACACGAGATTGAGGAGATCCTCCGGAAGAAGGACAAGAAGGAGAAAAAAGAGGAGAAAAAGGAAGAAAAGAAGGAGGAGAAGAAGGAGGAGAAGAAAGAGGAGAAAAAGGAGGAGAAGAAGGAGAAGGAGAAGCTTCCGGAGCCTGAGCCACACCAGCGCACCACCTGGATTAAGGTATACCTCCTCCCCTTGCAAGATACCTGACTATAAAGCTGACTGACTGGCATTAGGTTCACCGCAAGCATCTGCTCCCTGATACACTGATTGCCTATCGCCTTCCATGGGACTGGGACGATGTACGTTAGCCCCTACAAGAACCCGATACTCACATAAATTACTACACTGCTAACTACCCCCTCCCATCACAGCTCGACAGCAACTACATCATCATCAAGCAATGGATTTCCGAAGACTTCCAGGAAGAGCTCTTCGCCCACACGCGGCGCTTGCGCGAAGGCAAGCTCGTCACCCAAACCTCCAGCACCCTCACCGAGCTTAAGGTCAACGACAAGAAGAAGGACAAGATGTACCTTGTGAGGAAAAAGAACCCCGGTGGCCGAGCCTGGATTCTTACCTGATCTCGAGCTACAAGCCACCACCACACCACCTGATAGAACAAAGTACACACACACGCCCGCCGCCCCTTCTAACTGCTTGAAATTATGATACCATGATCTTGTCTTAACGTCTGTCACGAAATTCGGTATCATCCAGCCGCCATTTTCTTTCTTCTCTGTCATGTTTCTCCTCTTTTCTTCTGCTTTCTGAGAGCTCTCTTGTCAAGTCTGTGATACAGATCCAGAGTTCAATTGGGGGATGTCAGGATGCTATCTATGTCAAGTCCAGTATTTTCTTGATTTCCATTTTGTCATGAGTTGGGATTTTGAATGCCTTTTTTTCCTAGTCTTCCAAAGGAGTTGAACATACGATATGATACATTTGCATGTGATGCAGAGAGTGAGTGAGTTGTCGAGCCCTTTCATCTATATAATTCGTAAGAGGGAAAGAGATTCCGTTGAGGGGAGGGTAGAAAGGGGCGAGGGAAGTGACCTTCCCCCTTCCTTAGAGTATCATTTTTGTGACGGTATTCATGAGCGTGATTCTCCCTGCGCGGCCCACTGCACCTCAGCGCGCAGGATCAGCTCCTCGTACACCGTCCAGGCGAGCGCGGAGCTGAGGGCCTTCCTCGTGATGCGCAGCCCCAGCCCGCCGAACAAGCTCCGCACCCCGTCCTCGCGGACCATTAGCCTCGCCGCCCGCATCATATTGCCGTACCGGCCCGGCATGAGCTGCAGGCGCGTCTTGACCGCATCGAACGGATTCGTGATCGCCGTGGCCAGACCCGCAGCCAACCCCCCGGAAACAAAATTGATCGACGAGGACGAAGTCGACCGCAGCGGCGGCTGCTGCTGCTGTTGTCCCTCCGCCGCGGTGGCGGCGGCGGCGGCAGCAGCGCGACTACTCGCCAGCGCGGCCAGATGGCGCTTCAGCTGCTCGTAGAACAGCACATAGAGGCCGGCGTAGGGGGCGTCGCGCGCGGCGGTGGCGCCGAAGCCGCTGAACAGGCCGCGCACGCCCTCGGTGCGCACGATGTCCCGGCCCGCGCTGAGCAGGCTGCGGTAGGCGTAGAAGTCCGACTCGTAGCGGACCTTGAGGACGGTCACGGGCATCATGACGAAGCCCGCGGCCACGCGGGCCGCGGCGCCGGTGGCGAGGTTGGCGGAGTTGGAGAGCTTGGGGAGGGCGGAGGAGGAGGAGGATTTGCTGGTTGTGGGGTTGCTGCTGCTGCTGCTGCTGCTGCTGCTGGGACTACTGGCAAGGACGAGGGGCATCTGGGTCTGGGCCAGCCCTTGGCGGAGGGCGTTCAGGCTGGTGAAGTACAGGGCGGAGCCGAAGCCCGTGCGCAGGGCCGAGGGGAGGGTGCCGCGCCATAGGCCGCGGATCGGGTGCGGGGAGGAGAGGATCGCTTGGAGGGTCGGGAGAAGGGAGGCGCTCTGCGATTGCTGCACGCGGGTCTTGAGGAGGTCGGCCGGCTGCAGGAGGATGGAGGAGGTGAGGCCCGAACAGAGGCCGGCGGCGAAGTGGAAGGTTGTCTTGGAGGCTGGGGGTGGTCCGGGTGAGTTAGTGGGCAGACATGGTTATTTGCTTATAGACATTTTGGAGGAGGTGGGGGGAGGGGGGTGAGGCAGGGCTTGGTTTGGTGTCACTGAAGGCGCAGACTCACGCGTGGAGGTTGTTTTCACCTGCGTCACCGCGTAAGAGGCATTGTTCGACATGTCTATGGAGGTCTCCCTCGGGTCGGTCTTGGGGAGGGCCTTCGATGCGGTAGAGGGATGTTGGGTAATTGGTATGCGCAAAGCCTCAGTTCATTGGAAACTTGAGAGGTCTCTGGGTGTGAATCGATGGAGAATTCCGAGAGTCCTAGACAAGCCGCATCCAAGCGGTCACATTCACGTTGATAGAGGCAATGACAACATTTCAATGGATACACAGAGAAAGAGATAGGCTTCGCGGGCAAGAGATAGGGCGAAGGCGAAGGGCAATCCGCCTGAAGCAAGTCAGGTACAAAGTTCCAACAGCACAAAATAAAATCAATGAAGAAAAAGAAAGGAAAGACGGTGTAGAATGGATGGGAAGAATTGCACGGGCACGGGCACAGAGACTCTCTCGGGAAGGGCCTCGGACGGACATTTTGGACCCATCCAATTTTCCTGAAGCGGCCAAAAGCGGATCCGCTGGTTGGAGCAAGTGAAGTCATCAGCCTGGAGTCACTGGCCCCGGAAAGCAGGCTGATTGGCGGATCCGCACTCTCTACTTGCCCGCACTCAGTGCCGTTCACTGTTCAGTGACTGTTCTTCCCGGGTGTCCCGCGCAAGGGATGGATGGATCGCATTGCAGCTTAAGCTTATTATTATTATTATCTCCAGATTGACGGACAATAAGGGTTTGAGATTATCACAAAGGGCTAGTAAGTAACTAGTGCCATGGCTCTGGGATTCTCAATGCACTTGTACCGTACATTGTACTCAATACTCTTCACGGTTCTCCTGTGATTATGATAAGTGAGGAACTATGTTGCACCAGTTCCGACAAGGGCGTAGACCTCGTGTACAGTACCAGTACCTTTCCTATGGTCTCACTCGCAATCTACGCCTCTCCTCTGCCTAGCATTCAGCCACCAAAGCTTCTTTAAAGCAAAGCTAAATACCTTTCCCGGATATCCTAGACAATCCGTACAATGGAGCGATCTGATGTGCCTCGAGCACTGGACGGATGGCAACCTTGAAAGACGGTTGTCTCACCCAGAGCATGTGCTGCGGGAGAAGGGCTGAACGCAGAAGAATGTTGCCCTATCCTCAAAAAAATATTCACTGTTGCTGGAGAATAAACCGACCATTTATCTGGCCGACCAATCGGCAGGCAATGAAAGCAGCCTGACAGTCTGACTGGGCCGGGCGCAGATCAACAGTGGTTGTCGATCGACGTCACGGGTCTGAGAGGAGTCAAGAGAGGGGAGAGAGAGGGAGAGTTTGTGTGGAAACTGGAGACTCAGCTGGGACTTTCCAAGGCAACTCCAATCTGTCAACCTTGGCTTTCACTTTTAACAACCCTTCTTTTTTTTTTCTTCTTCTCTCTCTCTTTTTCCCGATTCTCATAACTGCCATGCTCTTCTACCTATAGCCCAGGTTTCTACACAGTTTCGTCGACTTTGAGAGCTTGTCGCAGCCCCTCTTCCCTGCGGAGAGCTTCTCTCCTCCTTCTCCTCCGTCCATCATGTCTCGATGGGCTTTCCTTCCGAACATTCCGTATCCGCCCTCGAGGCCGGGATACTGGAGCCCCGTCACATCCACCCTGAACTGGTGTGAAGAGGTTCGTCGCCATGATCTGGTCGCCTATCTGAGGATTACATATAATGCTAACAGGTCTCTTGCATAGGATTACTATGCTACGATTTACTCCGCCGAGATCGTCAACACGCTGACAAACCTCCTGTTTATGTGGCTCGGGATCAAGGGCATTCGCAGCTGTCGTCGCAACGGACATGACAGGATCTTCGAAGTCGCCTACTACGGCTACCTCGTGGTCGGAACAGGCAGCTTTCTTTTCCACGCAACGCTGAAATGCAAGTCAACCTTCCTAACCCCACACCCATACATCCTGGGCTGAGGACTGACCGGTTTCCTCTCCGCACAGATCCCATGCAGCTGGTGGACGAGCTGTCCATGATCTACACCACCTGTCTGATGTGCTATGCCTCCTTCTCCTACTCCAGACCCACGCCCTTCCGCATCCTCCTGGCCTTCCTCCTGGCCGGCCTGGCCATCTTCATCACCCTCTACTACCACTACCTCCAGGACCCCGTCTTCCACCAGAATGCCTACGCCCTCCTGACCACGGTCGTCGTCCTGCGCAGCATGTACACCATGGAGGTGACCCTGCGCCCGCGATGGCGCCACTCCACCGAGGCGGACCGGCTCGCGCGCGAGCGACAGGGCTTGCCCGTCCCGACCAAGGAACACCAGCGCTACGAGAACGTCCGGGATATGAAGACCCTCAAGACCATGTGGTTCATGGTGGCGTACGGCCTCAGCATGTTCTTGGGCGGATTCGGGATCTGGGGCTTGGACAACGTCTTCTGTTCGAAGATCCGCGGATGGCGCCGGGAAGTGGGTCTCCCTTGGGGGATCCTTCTTGAAGGCCATGGATGGTGGTACGTTTCTTGTTGATCCTTGGCGTGTCGTGCCAGGTGATTTCGAAATGAATGCCTGGAAAGAATGCTGACTTGGATCTTGTTTAGGCACTTGATGACGGGGTTCGGCGCGTATCTGTACATCATCTGGGGCATCTGGCTCCGTCATTGCCTGAACGGTCGCCAGGAGGAGTATCATCTGTGGTGGCCCCACGTCTGGAATTTCCCTGAGGTCATTCGCACGAGCGACAAGGGTAAGAGTGAGAATGGCGCGGCCAAGAAATCGAACTAGATCGGGTATATCTTTTCTTTTCTTGTTTTATTGTTTTAGATCAGCCGCTTGGTAGTGTGATCCGAGCACTGGGAAGTGAGCGTTTCGTTGTCTGTGGTCTTGAGCTAAGAGAACTGCGCTGCGGACTGGGACCGTGCTCATTGCCGTCATCTCGGCCACGCTCTTGGGACCTTATACTACTTATAGAAGTAAATCGAACCACATCCAATTGCTAAGCGAGACATCAGTCCATGTTCCTGCTGGAAAATAATCTACCGTACATATACAGTATGTAATCTCTAGCGCACAAATTAACATAGTCATCTATGGACAAAAGCAGTCACGCCATCCCTTATAACTTCGACTCAGGCGCAGCCTTCTTGGGCCTCTCCGCCCTGGGAACATGCTCCTTCCACCGAGCATCGATGGTGACCTTCTCAACCTTCGACTTCTTATGCCACCGCTCCCGGAAGGCCGCCTCCTCGGCCCGCCACCGCTCCAGCTCGCCCCCGAGCCACTCACTCGCCGCCTCGGCGCACTGCCCCGGCGCCTCCTGGGCCAGCAGATGCCCAAAGTCCTTCAGGTAGACCTCGCGCACCCGGCCCGCCGCCACCCCTCCACTGCCGCCGAGCCCCGTCCCCGTCGCCCTCAGCTTATCCGCCATCATCTCCGGCAAACACATATCCGACCTCCCCGCGAAGACGTAACAGACACTCGGCCGGAGATGCGGCAGCATCGCGAACACCCGCGACGGCTCCGGGCGGTAGAACGGCCATGACCCCAAATGCTCCGGGTTCAGGTCCGGGTGCGTCGTGCGGTCCACGGGGACTTTTCGGCCCGGCGGTCCGTCGTAGTTGGGCCGCGAGAACGTGAAGACTTCCTGGTGGAGGGTGGTTTTGAGGGTGACGGGGCGGTTGTCGGCATCGGCATCATCCTTTGGGGGGTCCGACGGGTGGATCGCGGTGGGCAGGTCGCGCAGACCGTGCTCGATCCACCGGGCCAGCACGCGCGCGTCCCACGCCTGGTAGAAGGGGCTGCGCTGGAAGCTCGCTGCGGCGGCTGCGCGCGAGGGCCACACCTCGCGCCGGTAGGTGGAAAGTTGCGTGGTTTTGGCGATCGTCTCGCGGTGGTGGTGCGCCATTTCCAGGTGGTCCAGTTGTGTGGATTCGCGCTGGATGACCGGGTCCAGGAGGATAAGGGTGTGGATGAGGCGCGGGTGCATGAGGCTTAGTTGGGTTCTTTTGGTTTGGGGTTAGTGGAGGGGGCCCAGTGGGTGTTGATGAGGGAGGAGGGAGGGGGGGGGATTCCTACAGGTGTGCGCCGCCCATGCTATGGCCTATGCCTACGATGGGCCGTGGCATCTCCTTGCGCTTGACATTGAGGAGGTGCAGGAGATCTCGGGGGTGGTCGAACCAGCTTGCTGTTTGCGTGGGCGCATGTTGGTCAGTGGCTGTGACTTTGGGAATGGGGTTGGAACTACCTAGGTACACATACGGTCATTTCCGAGAAGGTCCTCGTTCAACACACTGCTCTGGCCCTGGTGGGCTACATCTGCCATCCAGATGCTCCGGATTCGGAAGCCATTGGCTTTGGAGCGTGTGTAGATCTCTTCCCACAGGGGCTCGTACAGTTCCTGGCGATGAAGGGGTCAGCTGGGTTGTCCTGGTTGTCGGTGCGGGGAGGCGCTGTGTGACAGCGGGAGTGGATTCCGCAGCGGTACCTTGGGGAAGCCATTGGCATGTGCGGCAAGGATTGTGACGTCTCCCGGCTGGGGGTTGGGGTTGTCCAGTGGGATGTACTGTTTGACTGCAAGGTTTAGAATGTCCTCTTGCTCGTTGGCGGTGGCCGCGGGATACTCTCGTATATGTTGGCATTCGACCGTGTGCTCGACTACCCGAAAGGGGCCGGATGTCGCTGGTGACGAGGACATGGTGGTGGTTGGTTTCTATGGGGATATATGCGCGATCAGAGGTTATAGGGAGGCTATGCATATATAACACTTCAACCGGTGCCTTGGGGCGTGGGGAAGGGAAACCATTTCCCCAGATCGGAGTGGTGAACTGCCGGGGTTGGAAACGAGCCGAGGTTGATTTGTAGAGTACCGATGGATGATGACACTTTCATGTTTTTTTGAACATGGTGACAAG